AGAAAGAAAGAAAGAAAGAAAGAAAGAAAGAAAGAAAGAAAGAAAGAGAATCACATGTTGGGATGAAGGTTGTGACAGATCCTGTTAACTCCTGACCCCATATCTCATGTGCTAACAGAATCCAGTTTCAATTAGGGGTAAAATGTGACCAGCCTTAAGGGAAATATTTTTTCCAGACTCCCTTAAAATTGGGGTTAACCATCTGACAACTCTAGGCCATAAGATATAATTAAAAATCTCCTGAGTTCATGAATTTGTACTGATAAAAGTAGACATGAGCTGTTAGTATGTCCCTCCTCCCCACTATTTCTGCTTTGAATACAAATGCCATAACCAACTACATAACAATAACATAGCTACAATAGCAGTGTCTTATTCACGAGGCAAGAAATATGAAGAATGGGCTCATAGAAATGTGATGTTACTTGGCCCTGAAGCTTCAGAACCACCAAACCGATTTCAACATCTCTACACCACCCTCCCCATATTTCTTTAATAAAAAGCAATCCTTGTTCTATTTAAGCCACTTCAAGTGGACTCTCCTGTTTACTTGCAGCTTCTAAAATTTTGCAGTGCTCTCCAGAAAAGTGCATGGCGTGTGCAGGTGTCTTGTGGGGCTTGATGTAGGCATCAAGGTTAGTTTTCTTTTTGTTCAATTAGTTATTGCAGATAACCCTGATGTCGTATCTGTATTTCTCCCATCCTGCTCATCTAGATAAAATACAAGAGTACAAACTGCACGTGATCGATGAGTGTTCCACAACATGTAGCAAGACCACTTGGCCTGGGAACCATGTAGACTTCTTCTACCAAGAAATAGAGAGACACAAGAAAAGACACAATAGAGAGACACAAGAAAAAACAGACCATGTCTGTTTCTTCCCAGAAGACCTCAAGGGAGACAGCCCATGACTGTGGTCCTACAGGGAGTTGCTGGGGTTGGAAAAACAACCCTAGCTAAAAAGGTGATGTTGGAGTGGGCACAAAACAAGTTCTACCCCCATAAGTTCTGGTGTGCTTTCTATATCCATTGCCGGGAAGTGGCCCAGGTAGCCAAGCAGAGCTTCTCGGAGCTGATTGCCCATAAGTGGCCAGGGTCAAAAGCTCTCATGTCCAAGATTATGTCCAAACCAGACCAACTTCTGCTCCTCTTTGATGGCTTTGAGGAGGTAACATTGACCCTCACAGATAGACCAACTGACCTGAGTGAGGACTAGAGCCAGAAATTGCCTGGGTCTATCCTGCTGACCAGTTTGCTGAGCAAAAGAATGCTTCCTGAAGCCACTATACTGATCACTCTGAGGTTCACGTCTCGGAGAAAACTTAAGCCCTTCCTAAAACAGCCCTCTTTTATAACCCTTACAGGGTTTGGTATGGCAGAAAGAGGCAAGTGTTTCAAGACCTATTTCGGAAACAAGAAGGAAGCTGATGAAGCCTTGAGTTTTGTCATGGGAAACATGATTCTCTTGTCCACGTGCCAGGTCCCTGTGGTTTGCTGGATGGTGTGCTCTTGTCTGAGGCAGCAGATGGAGAGAGGAGCAGATCTCAGGCAGGTGTATCCAAACGCCATGGCTCTATTCGTCCAGTATCTGTCTGGCTTATTTCCCACCAAGGCTGGAGGACTTCCCAGCTACACTCACCAAGAAAAGCTGAGAGGTCTGTGTTACTTGGCTGCAGAGGGTATGTGGAACATGAAATGGGTGTTTGACCCAGAAATCCTGGAGCCAAGCTGGAGGAGACCGCCGTTGCCACTTTTCTCCGTGTGAATATCTTTCAAAGGGTTGCAGGTGACCAAGACTGTTACACTTTTGCCTTCATGAGCTTCCAGGAATTCTTTGCTGCCTTGTGGTACATCCTCTCCTCCCCGCAAAGACTCAGAAATTTCCAGGTGTTGGACAGCGTTTAAGTCACGCACCTGATAGCCTACCCCGGAAGAAAGAAAAACTATCTCGCTCCGATGGGGCTTTTCCTGTTCGGCCTTTTAAATGAAACATGGGCTTTAGTCGCGGAGAAGTCATCCCGAGGCAAGCTGACCTTGAGTAATAGAAAGAAGCTGTTGGAAGTTGTAGCCCTGTCACATGAATTTGGCCCCCCAACCCCACACCACGGCGTCCCACAGCTATTGTACTGTCTGCATGAAACCCAGGAGGAGGCACTTGTGAGCCAGATCCTAAATGATTGTCAGAAAGCTGCTTTGACCATCAGCAAGGTCAAAGACATTCAGGTGTCTGCTTTTTGTCTGAAGCACTGTAGACACCTGCGGTGTCTAGAACTGACCATCACCCTGACCGTCACCCAAGTGTCCACACCCCACCCAGAATCCCTCCGTTCCACTGAGTGAGTGCTCTCCTCTCTGCTTGGGCAGCCTGACCGGTCCAGGGACCTTGCCTGCGGTCCTCCCAGCATCCAGGGCGACCACCTGTCCTGAGGTGGTCCCTTACACAAGGGACTTTCCATTTTAAAACCAGGACAGGAGGTGCTCCCAGGATGCAGATTTGCATGCCAAAACCAGGAGAATCCTGGAGAAGCAAAGTGATTTGTTTACCTTCTTTATCTCTAGTCTGCATCCCCTCCCCCCCTTCTACATGGGGACATTGCATCTGTCCCCCCTACTTCTGTGTGTCTCTAGCTCATTAGTCTCTAGGGAGGTGCTGTCCAATGGAAGTTTTCTGTGAGAGTGGAAATGCACCATCCAATAAGTGAACCACTAGCTACGTGTGACTACTGAGCACTGCATTTAAAAAAAAATTTTTTTAATGTTTATTTGGGTTTTTTTTAGGGGGGGGGAAGGGTAAGAGAGAGAAGAAGACATAGAATGTGAAGCAGGCTCCAGGCTCCCAGCTGTCAGCACAGAGCCCAACACAGGGCTCAAACTCACGAACTATGAGATCATGACCTGAGCTGAAGATTTTGCTTTTAAACATCAAGGTATAGTTCAGAACACTTCAGTGACAGAAACATTTGGTCTTACTTGATGGCTAACACTTTAGATGATGCAGTTCACATTGGGTTACATACACCTTACGACGAATGTTACCTTGTCCTGTTAAGAGCAGCTAGCATGGCACTAGAAAAGAAAAACCAGCTGGGCTCTAGTTTCTATGCATGATTTTCAAACGCCATTATTACAAAGTTATACAGACTTACAATTAAATAAACTATATGAAAAAAACAAATTTAGGGGCACCTGGCTGGTTCAGTCAGTAAAGCATGTGGGGTGAGTTCAAGCCCCATATTGGGCATAGAGCTCACCAAAAAAAGAAAAAAAGAAAAAAGAATAATAGATTATCAAAATTCATCACCTCCTAATTTCTTTACTATACTATTATTGATGCCAGCATTCAGCAAACTTTTTCTATAAAGGTCCAGATAAGTATTTTCAGCTTTGTGGGCCATACAGTCTTTTGTCATGACTTTTCAACTCTGCCATTATAGGTCTAAAGTTTCCATGGCCAATATGTAAATGAATAGGTATGGCTATGTTCCAATAAAACTGTATTATTATTAAGTTGTTAAGCATCTGTGAATAATACAAGTTATTAATAGCTATTATTAATTTATTAAAAATTTATTAATAACTCTATTCACTATATAATTTACTAATATTTATTATGGGCACAGGATTTGAATTTCATTTAATTTCCATGTGTCACAAAGTATTGTTCTTTGATCTTTTTTCACCATTAAATTTTTTTTTTTAATGTTTATGTATTTTGAGGCGGGGAGAGGGGTAGAGAGAGAGAATCCTAAACAGGCTCCGAGCTATCAACGCCGAGCCTGACATGGGTCTCAAACTCATGATGTGAGATCATGACCTGAGCCAAAATCAAGAGTCAGACACTTAACAACTGAACCACCCAGGCGCCCCTAAAAAGTTTTCTAAATTCTTAGTTCACAAGCTGTACGAAACCAGGTGGCCAGCCAGACTTAGCCCATGGCCATAGTTTGCCAACTCCCAGTATGTGTTTCTGAGGTTGTTGCATTTGTGTGGTGGGGTGCTCCTGCACATCTCTCCCCAACTGTGCGTCCAACAACTTGACGTTGGTAGCTTGAAATCAGCCACTGTGGGAGCACTCACACTAGACATTGGTAGACATTGCACATCAGGGCTTTTGTTCTCCAGAGTCAATGGCTGAACATCTACCAGCACCCAAGTGCTCGGCATCCTGAGCAGTCTCTCTGTGTGTGACGCTGAACCGACACAACTTGAGCAGTCTCTTGTTTCCATCTGCCAGCTCTGCTCCTTCACACCTGTCAGAGCTGAGTGGAGCCTGGATAATCTCGACATTTAACGGAAACAGGCTCAGGTGGCCAGACTGGAGGTAGGGCAGCACAGTAGTTTGGTAGCGATTGACTTGAGATGGAAACCTAGCTTGGCAAGATGGCAGGTGCGTGACATGGGAAGACTTGTCTCGCATGACTGAAATCTCAGTCCTTCATCTTGAAGATTGTTTGTCAGATGAATGTAAAAAGAAGCTGTATTTCAAGGGCTGAATTGAGTCCCTGCCTCATAGTTAGAGCCCAGATGCAAGACCATACCAGTTGGGTCTGACCCCAAGTGTATATTATTTGATCATCTGTAACGAAGATGCTGAATTCGGTACAAGCTTTCCTGCTGGAAAGGATGGAAGTAACCCCTGGAGTCACTCTGTGTGAAAAACAAGAATGTGAGATGGTTCATGGGATCTATGTGTCTACATGGGTACCATTTTCCCCAGGGGCTCAGGCTGGGCATTTTTCTGTGGCCTCCATAGCCTGGAAGACTGCTCACTTAACCCTAAAAGTTGGATTGATATTGCCAGGCATCTCAGAAGTAACATACACTCAAAGACACTAATATTAGGAAGTAGCTACCTGGAGACATTTGGTTAATATTACCTGTCCGTGGCCCAGCTGGAGAGGCTGTCATAAATCTTTCTGTTATTGTCATGACTGCTGTTCATTTGTGTGGTGAACTGAGTGCTTCTGGGAGAAAAGCAGTCATGGGGGAATGTGTGCCAACTTAAGCCTGGTGACTGATATAATTACGTAGACAGGTCCATGAGGACAGACCAAGAATGTCTCCATAAAAGTACACATTTATACCCAAGACCCTGGAATACATAATTATAGTGAGCCTGATATATCTGTCATCTAGTTTATGAACTAGAGGCTCACCGGTATTATTTTCCTTCCTCACTAATTGTATTGATTCCTGCCCCCCCCCACCTCATGATAGCCACCTCGAATTAGGCTGATCAGGCCCCCCACACATGTATTCTTAAACTGAGCACCACACAGTTTTTCATTGCTTTGAATTTCACATAAGTGGCCTCAGCTTAGTATGTGTTCTTTTTCTGATCAACCAACACTTTCGTGCTCAGTGGTTTTGGAAATCTATTCACCTTCACTACTGGATGATCACGTGTGTGTGAATATGCACCATCTACTGGCCGCTGAGGTTTGGGCTGTACACACACACACTGTGATGAATGCTCCAGCAGTAGGATCTCTGGGTCATGGACAGCGTCCATGTTCCACTTTACCTGCTTGTTTCCAGCATCTCTGCACCTGTTTGCACCCTCTCCAGCAGGTAGCCACCAGTTCCCAGAACTCCAGTCCCTCATCCACTGCTGTTACCGTCCATCTGTCTTCTCCTTACTGTTTTTTGCCAGTCTGCCGAACAGGAGGTGGTACCTCATTGTTCTCACTTGTATTTCCTTCATTACTATGAGAATGTTTTCATGACCTTACTATTCATAGCAGACTATGAATGCCTGCTCATGTCTTTAAAATGCATCTCTTGGGAGGCAGGAAGATGGCGGCATAGGAGGACGCTGGGCTCACCGCGCGTCCTGCTGATCACTTAGATTCCACCTACACCTGCCTAAATAACCCAGAAAACCGCCAGAGGATTAGCAGAACGGAGTCGCCGGAGCGTCTGCCGGCCAAGCAGAGGCCCGAGTCTGGCTGGAAAAAGCGGAGGGGCCAGACGGACTGTGTTCCGACAGCAAGCATGACTTAGCATCTGGGAGGTCATAAGTTAACAGCTCTGCTCAGAAAGCGGGAAGGCTGGAGGACAAAGGGAGGGAGAGCTGCTGAGCCCCCGGACGACAGAGCTCAGTTTGGTGGGGAACAAAGGCGCTCGCCAGCGCCATCTCCCTCGCCCATCCCCCAGCCAAAATCCCAAAGGGAACCAGTTCCTGCCAGGGAAATTGCTCGCTCCGCGCAAACACCCAACTCGGTGCTTCTGCGGAGCCAAACCTCTGGCAGCAGATCTGACTCCCTCCCGCTGCCACAGGGCCCCTCCTGAAGTGGATCACCTAAGGAGAAGCGAGCTAAGCCTGCCCCTCCTGCCCCCGTGCACCTTGCCTACCCACCCCGGCTAATACGCCAGATCCCCAGCACCACAAGCCTGGCAGTGTGCAAGTAGCCCAGACGGGCCACGCCACCCCACAGTGAATCCCGCCCCTAGGAGAGGGG